TTGCACGACCTTAAAGATGGCCCTGCAAGTGGGTTTATAAGGTGAAGTACTTACAAGATGGCTCAATTTTCCATCACAAGGAAAAAATGTTGTAATGTAATTTTTATAAATTTCTTTTTGTGATTTCACATAAATCTTTTCACCAATTGCAAGAATTGAAATTGTAAGCTTAACACGTAGATCTAGATAACTTTTAGAGTCGAATTGAAGCCTTGATATATAAGGGGGCAAACGCCAACTCAAGGGGGAGGCTTCGGCTGGGCCTCCACCCCTTAAACTTCAAAGGAATGAGGATGACTTCTCTTCTAAAGGTAGGGAGGCTTAATTGACCGCTGAGGAAAGCGGGGTGATCTCACACCAGCTTCAAAGAAGGTCCCACCCACTAATAATCTCTATGGACCGATGACTCCTTTGATGCCATCATGTTTATTGACATTCACCTTCCCTTTTTAAAGGACTTCCTCGGGGACCATCAGGGGGTCCATAGTCAACCCTTCCTGAAGCGATTTAGCCTCAAAGAGGCTCGCCTGCTAAGGGTTCTCCTTATGGAGAAAATTGAAGGAAGGAGCATGATAAGGAAAATAAGGAGCTGAAGGAGAAGCTTTCCAAGTACAAAGAGTACATGGCCAAAGAGAAGAATATGATTGCGACTTTGTAGAAGGAGAAGGAGACCCTGACGGATAAACTTTTAGATGTAGACTCTAAATCCCAAGATTTCGCCACTCAAGAGAAAGAGTTGTGGAAATCCCTATAAAAGGACCTTAGCAGCCCAAAAATATTTAGAAGAAACCTATGATATTTACTATGAAAGAGCTAAGGAGAAGATAACATTTCTTCATCCTGGATTGGACTTAAGCCTCATGGACATCTTTAAAATTATTTGTGATGGCTAGTTGATGGATATCTCATACGTCTCTCAGCCTTCTGATCCCATCGCATCGCCTGCCATGGATATTCAAGCTAGCATGAGGGAAACAAGGAGCTGAGGACGTCATCCTAGTGGAGACCTCTGTTGGGGGTGCTGCTGAAGAAAAGTTGACTCCTAGAGTCGGCCAATGATTTAAAGACTCATCCCCTCATTTTTATGCTATGTTTGTAATCGCGCCCTTGGTCATTAGCCTAGGGGGTTGTTATGTAATATTAAACATCACTTTCAAAGGTTTCCTCATATTATGATCTTTTCTATTTTTGTTATGATTAATCCATGGTTAGGATTTACTATACAAGACCATGCGTCTTGCCATAGGGAATTGTGGGTTACGTCGGGGGATCAACATATGTCTTGAATTTTAATGAGATGATTCATGCATGGGGATTCATTTTGTTAATAGCCTTGGGAGGAAGCAGTGACTTCCACATAGATATCCAACACGTTAAATATCCTTAAGAAACGGAAAGGACTCCCACATAAGGATCTAACATGTTTAATAGCCTTAAGAGGCATAAAGGACTCCCATATAGGGATCCAAAATGTTTAATAGCCTAGCAAAAAGGACTTCTACATAAGAATCCAATATGTTTAATAGCCTTGAGAGGCAAAAAGGACTCCTACATAATGATCTAACATGTTTAATAGCCCTAAGAGGCTACAAGGACTCCCACATAGGGATCTAACATGTTTAATAATCTTAAGAGGAGACAAGAACTCCCACATAGGGACCCAATATGTTTAATATCCATAAGAGGCGGAAAGGACTCTCAAATAGGGATCCAACATGTTTAATACTCATAAGAGGTGACATGTATTGCTACTTAAGGTCTAGCATATTTAATAGCCTTAAGAGGCAACAAGGACTCCCACATAGGGATCCAAAATGTTTAATAGCCTTAAAAGGCGATAAGAAATATCACATAGACATCCAATATGTTTAATAGCCTTACGAGGCAACAAGGACTCCCACATAGGGATCTAACATTTTTAATAGCCTTAAGAGGTAGCCATGGAGAGGTTCCTCCATTTTTCTGTATTCTGAAAGTAAACTAGCTACAATCCAATAATTATATAAATAAAAGGAGTGTCTCATTAAAAACTGCGTACTAGTTTAACATTACAATAAAAGAGTGCCCCCACAAAAATGTTATTATGCATACAAACCCGGTTGAGAGTATAAATCGCATAAACCAAATAAACAGTAAACAAACTAAGTTAAATGAGACTCATCTCCTCAGCGATCATCTTGTCTCTTCTGCAAACTTGGCGATCTCTTCGTACGAATTGGTCATGCCTTCCTTAGCATAAACCTTCTCTAGTGGCTCTACCCCTTTCTTCGTACTAATGATGCTTATGCTTACTATTCTGATCATATTTAAATTCAAGGCTTAATATGCTTTTTGGTCCCATATGTTTATCTCAGAATTCATTTTGGTCCCTTAACTTTAAAGACGTCCATATTACTCCCTTAGCTCTTCAAACGTATTATATTAGTCCTTTTTGTCTAGTTGGCAACGTAAATACTCATAAATCAGTTGCTAAATTCGTCGCTATTAAGACAAAAAGGACTAACCTGATATGTTTTGAAGAGTTAAGGGACCAGCATGTGGATCTTTTTTAAGTTAAGAGACCAAAATGAACCCCTAGGTTAACATACAAGAACAAAAAGAGTATTTAACCTAACTTTAAGCTCTTCACATAACATTTTCTTTAGATCTCTTGGTTTCCATGGTAACACCAACCCTTCCTTCCGAGAGCGGGTACTTAGGGTAACTCCTAATTGGTTAAAGGCAGTGATCCATATGATTATATTATATGATGAGGTGGAATCATTGACTAGATATCCTACCTCTACTTTCCTAGATTTTTCCATTCCTCTGAAGGTAGTCCTCAATGTTATGTAGCCCTTCACTTTTATCGGTTTACCTAAGAAACCCATTAATGATCTATGGAAAGGTTTTAGGTACTCCACATTTAGACTTAGCCTCTCAAATGCATCCTAGTAAAGGATGTATGCAAAGCTTCCCAACTCAATCAAGATTTTTTTATTTCCTAATCGTCACATCAAATAGTGATAACCATGGGTTTTTCGATGTCGGGATGAATTTTGGCGGCATTCTTGTCGAAAAAGATGATTTTGGACTCTTGTGCTTATGATTTTCCTGCCACTGAGTTAACGGGCGAGCCATCAATGGTAAGGACTTGATGATCTTACTAATTCCAGCAAGATTAGAAATCCCACACTCAGCGAATCCTCTCGTGATGGTGTTGAGGGTATGGAGAATGGACATTGAAAATCCTTTTCACATGGGATATATGTTGAACCAGATGTTGGGACAACTTGTCCAAATTTTTACACCAGATCAAAAACAGTTTGAGATCAATTATAAATCAATGCAGAAAACTGTAAAATCACAAGAGATTAGTAAGCCATTTCGGTGAAACCACAAATACGTATGAGGGAAACTCTATTCAAGAAAGTAAATTAACTATTTCAAATTAGTACACATAGTCGTACAAGAGCCAACAAACCATAATTTTTTCAAAGCCTCTTCCTAATCTTAGTGATTTCTATTTAAGGGCTCCCCTTAAATATGAGAGCATACTCACTTTCTTCTCAATCACACAACCCACGATTGTTGTTTATAACTTAATAAACAATATTGAAATTACAAATCCACTAAGACAAACCTTCTAAGCCAAGTTACCGAAACATAGAGGTGTGCAATATTAGATTCTTCACTAATCTAGTTATGGCATTATCTTGGAAGACAAGTAACAAAGACTCAAATCCTAGCACAAAGAATCTAGTTCTAATGCACCAAAACTCTTGTCAAACAATGAAAATTTATTTCCTTATATAGTTATATCTTCTGGGGTTTTTCCAATAGGCATATGCATTTAATTTGTCTAGAATCTTAGCTAAATAAGTTGGATATGATTTTCTATTTAAATCTCTCCAACAAAAGATATGATTTCTTATATTCCAAACTCAAATTTAAATCACATTAAAATCTGACTTGAACATCTACAACTGCCAAACAAATCAACCAAACATTGCTAAAAATAACTACAATAAAATGTGATTGAAATTCAATCATAAAAGGTACCAAACAACATCCCTTATGGTCTTATGAAAAATGCCAAATGTTGTACATCACATGCTGGAACATCGAGTTTCACATGTTGCACCAATACATCCAAATCAACCTTTCTCCTTGACTTACAAATCTTCTATTGTGGAGAGAATCTTGGATAGATGAAATCTGAACTAATTTCTATCTTTATTTTTCTGTTTATAAGAGACCAGATGTTGCAGCTTATGTGTTGGAACATCTTGTTCAACATGTATCCTTCTGCACCAGAACCAACTTGAGCAAATTTCATGTTGTTTAACACAGTAAATTCCAAAAGGATCAAAACATTGTCCTTCTTGGATGTTTAACAAGTCTTTCCATTTCGAATTGCAATCTCCCCATCCTCTAGCGATCTTCCTTTAATATATTTCTTTAGACGACCTTTTAGGATGAGTCGTTTTATCTCCTTTTTGAGTTGTTAAGAGTCGTTTGTCTGGTGTTTCTTAACCTTATGAAACTTGCACCAAATGTGAGGATAATGTCTCATGACATCCATCTTTAGAGCTAACGGTTGGAGGATATTATGCATATGTAGGACCTCTCACCATATTTGATCCTGCATGCATTGGGTGAAACTTTCAATGCACTTTCCATTTCACTTGAACGTCGCTTTATTGCTCGTAAGTGATATGTATTGGTTCCTTTGTGAACTGTCAAAGCCAAAAGCTCGTTCCTTTGCATCAAGGGCCTTCTTCTTGGCATTATTTTCCTTGGCCTTAATATACCCTTAATGACTTGGATGGGCCCTAACGTATGTTGAATAGACTAGTGGTGGTTATCTTCCGATATCTGCTAGAAAAACTGATAGACTAACTTCTTCACCAAATTTTGATAACTGATTATGAAGAGGTTGGGCATGCCCATATACCATCTCAAGAATGCATCCCTAAAAGTGTCAGAATAAAAGCTTGCACTTCAGGTAGTCAAGTTCCCTAATGTTTGTCATTTGGGTATTGATGGAAGTCACCTGCGCAAATAGATTGTTGTGTCCATCGAATATAGCCAGTGACGGCAGGTCCATTAAGACTAAGACATTCGAATTCGGAAGAAACTGATGTGACAACACAGCCTAGTTTTTGAAGAAACTTCTGTGTTACTGCTCTATTAACATCATCGTTGTCAGCCAACAAGACTTGCAGACCTCTGAACAAAGAATTTGAACTCGACGAATCTGAACTCTCCCCTGGTTCGGGGATGGTTACAGCGATTGATCGACGTAATTGAAACCAAAGAGCGAGGGTCATTACTTGAGGAAAGCCTCTAGCATTTGGTACTGTCCGTATGCTCCCTTTCATTGACTGTCAGAAACAAAAGTACAAAATCAATGCAAAGAAAACATAATATACAGAAAACAAAAACAGTTCCAACTACAAATATAGTATTACCAATTAATCATTGAAATTTGAGGGATCTTCAACGAATCTATGAATAAAATGTATCTAGATACGATTATGACTAATAACTAATCCACAAGTTATATGTATTTAATCGAATGTTCGCATGATAATGAAGGTAAGTAGAAAAAATACAACTATATTAAATCGCAAGTTCTACGCATAAGACGTTTCAATTTTATAGGACAGAACATGGAAATTTTGAAATGGATTCCAAAATGATCTATCACAATGTCATAGTGAAGCAATGCAGAAATGGCGTTGTATGTCTCACCTGGATTATCTTCTTGCAATTGCTGAAGCTCAACTTTTCATCAAACGCGCGATCACTTGTACTCATCCTACATGATAGCTGGCCTGAAGCAGCTGAGGTCTCCGATTCAGAATCATTGCTATTGATCCCTATCTCAAATCTAACATGTACGTCGCCGCTAGATGAGTTTGGTCTCCAAGTTGCATATCCCTGATCAGTCCTTCTTCGGCTTCCCGATTCTGCAAAAACTCGAAACACAAGAGTACCTCCACCGTGGTTACCATCTATTAGGCTCCTAACCATATGCAAAATCACTTGAAAAACCCTCTTGTCGTCACCGATAACATAGTTAGGCAAAGACTTATCAACCTCGACCTTAAATCCAAAACCCTTACATAAACTCATACACTTGGCAATGCAAGCTGCTTCTTATGTTATGCAACCCAAAGCATTTCATCTCCGAATTATCCATAGCATCTTTCATCAAGTTCGACACGACGCTGCTTGTCCTTACCATTGAATCCAGTTCATTTTTCAAATTCTCATCTTGCAACGTTGAAAGCAAACCCATAACTAATGCACTGGCCTTCCCATTCCATTACTCATAACTTTCTGAAAAACCGCTCTAGCCTCACTTGCCATCGTAGTCTTCCTTTTCTCTTGTTGCAATGCTCGGTTTTGCTCCTCCAATTTCTCCCTCATGAGCTGCGATTCCTCGAGAACTGCAGCATGAGAAAGTGCCACAGTTACCTGATCAGCAACAACTTTAGTAATCTCCAACTCTTGATTGCTCCAAGACCTATCCTCGGCACTAGGATGGACCAAAACGAGTCTCGCATAACAAGTTTCAGTTACTTCAGACGCTCCTCCTTTGAAATTGCTAACGCGAAACATTGGCATTCGGATTGCAGCAACCGGTCCTACATCAACAGAAACTCTACTACTCGCAGACGCAAGCGGTGAATCAGAATCAATAATGTTAACTACATTATCTCCCTTAACTCTTACAACATTCGGATCAATAATCGGTATCGAAGAATTAACATTCCTCCCATTCAGTTCATGAGTGAGGTTCATTTCCGTTTTATCAACATTAGGCATCCACACAGCACAATTCTGCAACCCTAAAGTTTTCGACAGTTCAACCAAAGTAGTATACAGAATCTTATGTCTTGAGTAAGCATTCTCACCTGCATTCCAGTTTCATTCCATTTCGTGATCATACCAACCTCGATTCCAAGCTCCCCCATCTTACGCCTGAGCAAGAACTCTCGAACCTTCACTTTAAGAAGCAAAGGGATCAAAGTAATCAATGTTATGGCAGTTGCACATGAAACCATTGCAGTGAGGACTTTTAAGACAGTCAAGTGTCAGCATGGTTTGAAAAGTGTGAGGTCCATAAGTCCAAATATTCAAAAAATGTGTCATTCCACAAAGGACTATGAATGCAAGGAACTGAAAAAGAACCCATTTGAATGGAATGTTTGAGCAACTAATGAAATAAAGAAGCTCAATAGGGATAGAGAAGTATGCGACGGTGATAAAGAAATCTCCGATTTTCTGGCACTCTAGAATGTTGTCAATAGTCCACCAGCTTGTGCCATCATCACAGTTGCATTTTGGAAATCCATTAGCAGTTGCAGATACACACAATAGAAGTAGGAAAATCAAAATTCCAGATGATGTTGATTTATGCATTGTTCCAATTCGATCTTCAACAATTTTCCAACTTCAACATTTTGGTTCTGTCATTGTCAAAACAGTTTCAAAGTCAGTAAGATCCAAATCATAGAAAACACAAATATTTGAGATCCCAAAACAGATAAATAATTAATAAAAAATAGACCAAAATTCAACTAGATTCTCTACCAATAAACAAATTATAAATAAAAACACTTATTTATACGAAACAGAAACAAGAAACATCATAAATACAAACGCATCGACATAAGTAATAATTAAAAAAAAAAAAAAATTAAATGTAATCTAATGTCATTTCGGTTTCGACACATACACACATACACATTGAGATACCAAAACATAGTTAAAGAGAGATTATTGGTAGCCATAAGAAAGAACCAAAGGAAAGAGTCATCCACCATCCATTACTTTATACATTAAACAAGTGCAACTATACCCACCATCATCAACTTCATTGGAAGCATCAAATCCCAACATCTATATATCTTTCCATTGGTCTATAGAGAGAGAGAGAGGGAGGGGGGAAGTACCTGGCTTGACTTTATGAGCAGAAAAACAGTAACCTCGTACAATGTATATCGGTGAAACAGAAGCTGAAGTTTGCGACCCTTTATGCGGAAAAACTGGTAGCTTTTATAATCTGCACAAAAATATAAAAACTTTAAGAGATACACATAAATAAACATAATGCAATAAATGATTTGATGGTAGTTAAGATATTTTCTGTATAGCTATGAGCATATGAATATGTTGTAAAACGAGATATTATCTCTTCTATACCACTATCAAGTAATATTATGACATATCACGGTTTTAATAATGATATTAGAAGTATGGTTACGAAGAATGTGTTTGTTGAAAAAGTGACAAACCATGAAACAATTGCGCCGTTGTTTGGATTGCGAAAACTCGTAATGAAATGACTTGATGTGATTTTATATCCGAAAAAAGTGAGACAATGATGAGAGAGAAAGAGAAAAAAATGGATTTATTAAATAGTTTATATAAAAAATGGGTTTATTAAATAGTTTATATAAAGTGACACATATTATCTTATTAAGTAGTTTTATAAAATTGTTTTAAGTCAAATTCTAATAATATTTTAGATGAAACAATTTTTAACTCTCTTTTTCTTAAGTGAAATGTCTCTCTCTTTCACAAATAATAGTTTTTTTTTTTAAATTGTAATTTGGAAATTTGTTTTTTAATTATCTACTACTCAACATCAATAAAAAAAAGATATTTATAAATTTTATATTTTTCTTAATATATTTGATTAATTTTATTGACATTAACTCTTAATATATTTGATTAATTTTATTGACATTAACTTAATTATCTAGAATTCTTTAAAAAGAAAGTTTATGACACGCCTCATCTCTTTGGTAATTATTTGTATGTAGACATTTTGATTTTGAAATATGTAAATAGACACTTTAATACTTATAGATTTATTAAATATATATAAGGTATTGAATTTTAAAACGAATTTGAATTTTAGGTTAAATTTGTCAATGGTATTGAATAATGAAATTTGACCACCCTTTAAATGATTAAGAATTATTTGTTATTTTGTATTATTTGAAAGGTATATACTTTCTTCAATTCTTATCATCTATGTTATTAATTATTTTTTTACCAATTATACAAGATTATTCTCAGATTTGTAAGGTATATTTTTATTCTTTTAATGTATTTTTAATTTTATATAACTATTTAATTTTAATAACGATGATACATTTAATATTTCACAATATTATATAAAAATATTTTTAAAATTCCAAAATTTACAACAATTAATTTTTTAATAGCAAATTAGATATATGAATAAAAACTCAAGATAAGGGAATGAGTAGTGATATAGACCAAAAAGTATGACAACTAATCTACCTACGACACTAACACATTACACTCCTTGAAAGAGATAACTGGATGGAAGCAGACTCGATCACCTACAAAAAGAAAATGAAGGCTAGCTTATCATCCAACACACTTCTAAAATCAAAGGCATCAGAATGGGCCACGCTCCCAGTCTAGCAAGGAGAAAGTAGAAATCAAAGCATGAAAATGAACTCACTTTCAAGTCATATTAATAATCGAAGTCACCAAGTGATTTACCGACAAGCTCTCCTTATAAAAAATGATTTTATTAAGTATTTTCCAAATTATCGAGACAACAACATACCTAAACAAGTATTCTTACTTAGCCCAAACCCTTGAAAAAACTCAAACACCCTAAAAACCAACCTCAAGAAAGGTAAAGACAAACTTATCCAACTAAGGACCTTATACCAGATTGAGGAAATCATCTTACACAAAATAAACAAATGGTCCACATGCTCAACCTGACCTAAATACACTGCACACTCAAAACTAGTAGAAAAACCGACATGACACTTAGCAAGTTTCTCCCTAGTTTGCAATCTATCTTGAAGAAACTGCCAAGAAAAAACCACCACTTTAGAAGGCGTATAACTCTTCAAAATCTTCACAGACCCCTGGAACACTCGATCTGACCTACTATCTACACTTGCCTCTAAAGAGGAAAGTTGAGAATAAGCAGTCACAATAGAAAAACCTCTCAACGGGTTACGAAGCCACTACAAAGCATCCTTTCGACCTTGCTTAACTGCCTAAATGATAAACCTATGAAACTCCTTAAGGATATTTTCCCAATTATCCATTAACCCTACCACTAAATCATTTTTCTTAGAAATACAAACAACCTCTCAAAAGAAAAACACAGCAGAATCGTATCCACCTAAGCATCCTTCTAGAACTTAGTTCTCATACCATCCACTACCACTTTAGTGCATGAAGAGGTGAACTAATTTAGAGGATGGTCAGATGTAGACCCAAGGAGGGAAACCCCTCTCCACTAGGGAGATTCCTTCCGCAAGTTCTCCACTTGACCACCTACTTGAGAACCACTTACTTGATTCCCATACCTAGAAAAGCAATGTCCTTCCACAAAGAATCTCTATCCTCGAGCAACCTCCAACCTTACTAACTTAATAGAGTCTGGTCAAGCAACCTTAAATCCTTAAAATCTAATTTTCTTTCCCTCTTGAGTTTGCACATATCCGCCTACTTCACCCAAGTAACCTTAGTTCTTCCTTTGCAAACCAATTAACTTATTCCTAACTGAAATTGGCATCTTTATAAAAGAGAGAAAGAAGATTGGTAGAGCAGTCTAAATCAAATTTAGTAGGAGAACCCTCCCACATTGACAAACAAGCCTATTCCTCTAAGAGTCAACTCTCTTAGATACAACCTTAACAAGGGGAACCCACATCCATACTTTCCTAAGATTAACTCCAACAGGGATCCCCATATACTTGAAGAGAAGAGTGTTGAAGCGGTAAAGCAGCAAGCAAAAAATATTAAGTACCCAGTTTTATCGTCTCCACAGGGATTAGTGATATGAACGCCGTTCAACAGCCTCTATATTTCTAAGCTTATTGTTCAAAAGTTTTGGTTTCAAAGGTCCAAGGAACCACAAATAAAAACAGAAAATATAAAATAAAGACTGAAATATAAACGGAGTCTTGTTGGGATTGGATTTCATCAATTAATAACATATGCATTCTTCTGATCAAATTAAACACAACGCAATCATTTGTCTAATATCATCATGTATCACCCATAACAAAGCTTATCTCTAATGCAGCGTCGAGAGAACAACCATGTTGTCTCATTGGTGA